ATTAATTGAACCATTTGTCCTCACTGACCAGTCTTGACAAAATGCCAGCTAATGTGACTTGGACTTATTTAATGAGTTTTTGTTGTTGTTTGAGACAGGGCCTCACTATGTATTTGAGGCTGGCCTTGAATTTGGGATAACCCTCCCACCTCAGCCTTCTAACTGCTGGGAATACAGGCCATTATACCCAGTGTGACTTGGCCATACTTTAGTCAGGCGTCTCACTTTCCGTCAGCCTTTGAATATTGATCTGCCCTGGAATTTAAGTGAGAAGTGGAACTTTTATAAAGCAATGAACTGTGGGACTACGCCCCTCCCCATTATTGCCCCTCTCTAGAATCCATGGGTTGAAACCTTTCCTGTTGAAGGGTTTCATCAATGCATTCCCCATGCCCAGTTATTTACAGACGTACAGTGCTTCTCCCCATAAAAGACAACACTTTAGCCTTCTTCCCAAGCCACTGGCAGACCTTGAGATGGCAGGTGCCTCCCTATAAGACTTTTTGAATAAATTCTCTCCTTACCTAAGGTCAGATTTGTTTTTTATTTGACAGACACAGAGGATTTCATTATACTAATCTTTCTGCTTTTGTACATGTCTAGAGATCTCCATAGTGAAAAGTTTTAAAGTAATATACTTGCATGTAAACATTTGAGGAAAGTTACTGAAAGGGACAGAAAAAACGATCAAGTCACTGTCAGAGAAACAAATTCCTACAGAAGGAAGGGTAGCAGAAAAGGAAGCAAACAAATAAATAGTAGTAAACATAAACATTTTTAAAAAGAAAGAAAAGAACTTATACAGTTAAGTCCCAGTACACATTTCAGTAACTGCCATAAATAGAAGCCATTAGATTGACCTAAAATAAGCCAATGGTTAAACAGATCAAGGAATCTCACACAAAAATCTCCTAAGTCATGCTCAGAACTTTCCAACTCTGATATAATTGGTGTTTGGGATTTTTTTTTTTTTACTCTGGGTTGAACCCAGACCTTCACAATGAGCTAAATTCTCAGCTCTATTTTTGTTTTTCAAGACAGGGTCTTGCTAAGTCCTAATGAAAAGCCAAAAGTTGCTTTAAGTTGCAATCCTCCCAGTGCTAGGACTATAGGTATGCACAACTTCTGAGGTTCTGAACTAAAGAGACTTTGGTGTTCTGAGTAAATCTCATTTTAGTTGAGGAAACACATTCAGAAAGGTAAACCACCTACTTAGAGTTATATATTAAATGAATACTTGGAAAACTGGAAACCAGATCTTCTCCCAGTCCAAATGCTTTTTTCCATCACCTGTGACTCCCAACTTATCAACAGTACGATGTAGGATTAGTCTAGAGATGTTCTGTCATGTGGAAGCTAAAAAAGTCAATCTTATAAAGTAGAGAGTAGAATATCATTATCTAGAGGCTGGAAAGGGTAGGAGGGAGGGAGGTTAACAGGTCAAGTAATAGCAAAATATACAAGTCAGTCCTACAACATGACAGGATGAAAATAGTTTACAAAAATTCGACATTTTATGAAAAAGTAGAAGAGAGGCGTTCAAGTGTTCCTCACAAAAGAAATAAGCATGTAAACAGAGGGAAATGCTATGTACTCTGATTTGATTGTTGCTCACTGTATGCATGCATTGAATATTTACAGTTCTCCATATGCACAATTACTATGTCAATTGAAATTGTGAGGTGATATACAATTTCACCATAAATGTGCCCTAGTGGCAGTAAAAGATCAATATAGGGTTAGGGTGCATATTCCACACTCTGTCAGTGGAAGTATGGGCTGGTAGAGCCTTGGGAACAATTTTTCAGGATCCTGCAGACACAAACGCATTGATAAAGGCTTACAGGGACACACACCACACTGGATCTTAGCCAAAAGGCCATGAAGTGATTACAGGGACAAAAACCAACCTATGAAGAGTGATCATCTCCTCCACAGAGCAAATTGGCAAAGAGATTTTAGATTTTTTAGTCCTTTGTTTATAATTTTCTACTGGGAATACGTTCACCTATTTTGACTTTTAAAGGAATTTTTTTGATCTCCATGGCCATCTCTGAGTGATTCCCTTGCTCGTGGTAAATTAGTAATTAGGCAACAGGGCACTTCTAATTCCCTTGCTTTAGTCCTTGCTTTCTACTATTTCTTTTGTTCTTGACCATTTACTAATAAGGTCTTACTTCATCCTTTGTATTTTATATTAACTCATTGTGATTTTAATTTGGTTTTGGTCTCTCCAAAAGGTGGTTATAGACTGTATGCCCGGCCAAGTGGGTTCCAGGGAATGTGGTTGTGAATCTCCACAGCATGCTTTTCAAGTGAGACTTTGCCTAAGTGTTACAGGCTTGGTCACTAGCCATGGAGCTGTGAGGAGTGGAGGGGACCAGTAGAAGGAAGTGAGGTACCGGGGTACGCCCTTGAAGGGTCTATAAGGGGACTGACCCTTTTCTTCTCTCTTGGCTTTCTGGTTACCATAAGTGAGTAGCCTTCTCTAGCAATACTTCCAGCATGGTGTAATGCCTATCACAGCCCCCAAACAGTGGAGTCAGTAGACCATGGACCGAAATCTCAAGAATTAAAAACCAAGATAATCCTTTCCTCTTTTTAAAGTTGATTAAAGTTGATGAGAGCAACTGAAAACTGACATGGTGTCTGTCTCACAGGAACCTAGTTCATGCTGGTAGGTTGCGTAGTGGTTCTGGTCTGACCTGACTTCAGTTTACTACCAGGTTAAACTCAGGTGAGGCAGAGAGAGGCATGATAGTGAAGCATGTAAAATACAGAGGCCTCTTGTTACTCACAGGTCTAATGAGAGGAGGACGGCCTGGCAAGGCTGTTGGGAGGTCCGAAAGAAATCGACCTGAAGCCTGTGTGGGGATTCAGATACTGAAGAGGTTCCCTTGAGGTTGTCTATTGGTGACTTTAGAGAACGTGAACCATGAATTAGTTCCATGGGAGCATACTATCACCAAAAGGTGGTCACTGCGGCACATTTGCACAGTCTATGTGGAGCTGGAAGTCACTGGGGAGAGCCAAGGGGATTAAATATCTGTTCTGTAAGAACTTTAAGCAGTGGCTGTAGAGGAGCTGTCTGAACGGCTCACCCTGGGGTAATGATAGGTGCACAAGTAGGACCTGCAGCAAGAGTTAGGAAGCTTTGTTCTGCTCTGGTCTGAGAAAGCTCACCTTATTTTCCCATTGGATACGAGATGATGAGTCATACAATAGTACTATGTTCTTCTGCCTTACGAGATGATCCTGTATCTGGGCTGGGTCTCATTAGTAGAACCAGCTAAATAAGGAAAAAGAGGAGAAAGAAGAGGCACAGTAGGGGCAAACAGGCAGGCTGTTACAAACTGCAGGGCAGAATAGCCTTCACTTTGCACACTGAGAAATGAGTTACCAAGCCACATTTCAGTGATGGGAATAGTTTTCAGGGTGAGAAAGGGCAATTACAGAGTCACCTGGCAATGTACTGCCTCACTCAACCCCTAGAGACAGGGTACTCTTGCCATCAGCAAAGGAGCCATTGAAGCTACAGACCCAGAAATCCTTTGTGGTGTCAGACTTGGCCCTGTGAGTGAACAGTTGAAGGCCATGTACACTGTTTCCATGTGGAGAGCAGTCACCACAGGGCAGCCAGGAATAGAAGGCTAGTGCGGATGAGTACAGACCAGCTGGATTCAGGGCCACATCTCACTTCGTCAGCACAGTGGGCTGTGGGCACGGCAGTGCACAAGTGCCAATGCCTGTAGGTAGCTGAGGGCAGCTCTTGTAGCAGCTGTGGGAGTCACACAGGTCCGTGAGTCACCACCAGCTGCTGTACTCTGAGGTCCTGCCTTGGCCTTCAGAAGGTGAGGTAAGCATGACACTTTCACTTCTTTCCGAGCTGGAGAAAGCAAGCCTGGAAAGGTGACCAGTTTAAGTATAGGACACAGGCTAGTACTACCACATCCCCCCTGAGTTTCAGAGTGGTTGAACACACATCTCATTGAAGACAAAAATGCCAGAGTTTATTTTCCTGTGTTTCTGGGTTTCTAAGTAGCAAGGCAGCCAAAAGCATATGAATTCTGTTGGATTCATCCAGTCCCTGAGGCAGCAGAGTAGGCGGGTGCATTGTGAGTCCAGGAACCAGCAAGGGAGCCGCTGAAGCTACGGCGGCCAGACTTGGGTTGGAATCCTACTTGAATATATTCTTTGGATTTCTGTGGCCTCAAAGGATTTAAAGCTCCCTGGACCTATTTTTCCATCTTTAAAATAGGCATAAAACATGACACATGTATCATTATGTCTTGTTAAACTATAAACTGCATAAAACTGTTCCAGATTTGAAACTTCAGGGTTCTGCAAAATATCTACCTCTCTACTCTGTTTCCTAAGCCTGAATTTTAGTGAAGCCAAGTCATACTCTTTTCTAAACATGTTCAGTGTTAGCTCATCGGTCAGTGTGGCGCGGCTAATGGCAGAACAAGGCTTCCTACCATACCACAATTACAGGAAGCCTTCCTAGGACAGAGAACTGATTGCGCAGCAGGGAGCACTTTGCCCCAGGCCAGCTATGTTCTGGGGTCACTAGTACCTAGCAGTTGAGAACCTTGTCCCTACCCCTCGAAAGGCAGGAAGGATTAAAACAGTATGAGCCATTCCCTCTCAGGTGTCTGTCTCAGCCTCCTCTCACCCTGTGAATGTAGCTCATTGCCTTTAGCTGTGCACAAGGGGCCTGCTGGTGGGGTGGGAGTGTTATTTTCTATTGGTGGTGAGCACCAGAATCTTTTCAAGGAGTTACTGGCCTCTGTCTAGTGAGTAAACGTCTAGTGCATATCACCCCAGAGGTGAATCTGGGGTGAATCTTTTGCTTTTCATTCAGGATATCATTGCTGTTGAGCCCACAAACAGGATATGGTTCAGAATATGGCTCTTTCAGTCATGTTTTGTAAAGATGTGGGAGGCTAGCAAAAATAATAGACTTATTGACGACTGAAGATGTGGACGCATTCACAAAATGCTAGGAAAACCATTTACTGTTCATTTTTTAAAGCTCACAACATTCATTATGTATCAGGAAAGAACACCTTTCTTTCTAACAATGTGATTTTCTATTTTCTTAACATTCCAGTAACTAGCCATCCAGTGTCTGTCTCGCTTGGAACCTTACACTTCTCGAGCCAGTTTCCTGGGCTGCTTGCTTGGTGTCCCCCCAGGAAGAGGGCTGAAGGACTAGTCTATTAGAGCCCTTCAGTGTTATGCTCTGGGTGCTCAATATCAACCAAGCTATTTGCAAAAGCAAGCATTTAGAGAATCAGCAAGTATCTAAGGCAGACAAATTACAACTTAAATAGCAGGTTGAACAGTGTTTTTATGAGACAGTGTTATGTTTTTGTGTACACAGCACACAATGCTTAACACATTTTATATAAAAGCATACAAACAGTCTTAAGCAAAAACTTTATAGAGTACTTCTCCAAATGAATGACATAACAAGCTGAAATAAAATAAATAAAGAGGAGGGGCACAGATCTATAGCCCACCTAGAATTCTAACAGAATGAGAAGATTTGAAGAACCAATCTTTGTTAGACTACACTGACCACAAGCAGGTGGCCAAAGCTGATTGCTGACAGGACACGGCGGCTGCTAATATACCAGACACCTTAGCAACATAGGCCCGTGACAGTGTGTTTGAGAACACACACAGTGGAGGCCCACTCAAGTCAGAAACTACAAGTTAATTACAATAAAAGGAAGAGGACTGTCCCCATACAAGGGGTTCACAACGTGACCCTGTAAAATGGCAAATAGTGTTAAGAGTAACATTGTGAACAATTAAAATATGAAAAACAGAACATTTCATATGCAACAAATAGTACTGAAGACTTTTAGATCAAGCTATCACAAAAACCAGGAAGTGATTTTATGTCACAAAATGGTCCATAACGTCCAAAAATGTCTTTTGACTGGATAGTAAAATAGTATCTACTGGAAGCAAAAAACTCTGATAAAGTACAGCCCATTGGAAGTGGTAAAGCTTTAATTTCTGCTATTTTCTTCCAAACCAACTTATTATTAGCGTTTTCATGGCATAGGAAGAGATGGTAGCTTTCCACAGGAGCACACCTGGGGCTGACCTTGGTGATGTTCCAGGTTAGGGCAATGCTCATGGGTTTAAGCACCCATTTCACTTTCAGCTCGGGCTTCTGGGGAGGGAGCGTGTCTCCGATTTTGTAAACCAGCTCAGGCAGTGGTGGTGATGCTTCTGGGAGAGGTGGTAAATGCTCCAAGCAATCCAAATCCTAAAAACACATTTGTAAAAAAGCTTAGGAAACTGGTTTGGTGAACTTGATCATTTCAACCTGGTCAATTGCAGCTGTGTAACTATTTCCCGTTCTTCAATCCTATTACCAAAATTTTAAAAAAGGGTATTTCAAGAATATGTGTGGTTAGGTCCATTTATTTTAAAATGAGGTTCTTTGAGAATTAAGATTTCTACACTCATGAGCCCAGAATAAGGCAGCTCTAGGACATTCTGGATATATATCATTTCCAAACATGTGCTCCTTTTGGTAACACATATACCAAACAGTATACTCACTTATGCAAAAAAAGTGTCATGTGCAACAGCACCCATTTTCCTCCACCTTCATCAACAATGGCAAGAGCTCTGAAAATCTTAAAATGCACTTGTTTTAATTTCTATAGCTTCTGGGAAATACAACTGAGTAAATAGATTAATAATAGTACATTTTAAGAAGCACTAAAGATGAACCAAAAGTTAACAATTACTTTCCTTTCAATTTGGAAAGAATGTCCTTAGAGAGCATTTCATTAGTACCTCGGTTGCACTTTCTGCCACTGGGGTTATTTCTCTTGAGTTTAAAGCAGCCTTTGAAGGTGACTCCAGGGAGAATACTGGACTTTCTGTGAACAATAGAAGGTGAAGAAGTCAAATTTAGGCCTGAGGACTTAGCTCAGTGGAAGCACTCTTATCTAGTATGTGTGAGGCCTTGAGTTTGATTCTCAGCACTACAAAAAAATAAAATAAAAAGTGGTTTATCTAATATAATCAATTCCATGGCCTCTCAGTGAGTAGTTTAGATCTTGGTTGATAAATTAAATATTAAAATTACAAAACTGAAATATGGAGATATACTTTTGACAAAAAGTTTTACATATAGAAAATTTTCTTTTAAGAAAATTTCATCTTAAGCAAAACCCCCTCAGTCATGATGTGACTGGGAACTAGGTACATTCACTTATTGAGAAGGGTCTCTGCTCAGCAACTGGGAGGCAGAGTCTTCCTTGTTAGACTAACGAAGATGTCTGTAAACATGAAGCCATATACAATCACATGAATACATGAGACCCACAGGGCGTGGGAATGCAAAATAAAAATAAAAATCCACAGGATAGGATTAGAGAAAGCTCTTTTGGTGGTTAATTCTACGTTCACCAGAAGGGGATTCGGTATTAACTGTGACTGGAAAAGGACGGGAGGAGGGACAAAGATTGCAGAAGAAAAGAAAAGAGAAGATAAAGTTAGGGATAGGAGGGTGATGGAGTGAGAATGGTTTAAAAACAAGTGGTAAGAGTACACATGGGGATAGTTGAGGGGGTTCACTGTGGAAAGTATGAGGGCTGGGTTATAAAAATTCCAGAGCTTAAATATCTAAAAGCAACAAAAATCATTTTAGGTCTGTTATATTTCTAGTGATATAACTTTGTAATAAACTTGATGAATCCCCCAATGACATTTGTAGTTTTCTTTTGATTTATAAGAATAATCAAATTTTTGCATTGTGTTATTTATTTATTTATTTATTGCACTTAGTTTTAAAGTTCATTTATAAGTTACTTCATTTTTACTTATTGAAACACCTTTTAGGGTCAGGGGTGTACCAGAGGTGTAGCTCAGTGGTACAGCACTTAGACACTTGCCTAGTATGCTGAGGTAAGTTCACTCCCTGCTTGGGAAGAGGGAGTGCTTTTTAGAAGAGGTAATGACTTTAATGGTTTTAATTCTAAAAGAGTTACACAACAATTGTATATTGGTATAATTAATTGGAACTAGACCTACAAAATTATAAACTGCAAATTAACATCGTAAGAGGTAATACAACTTCCTTTAATTTTTGGAGTAAACAAATATAAAAGAACATTCTAGGAAATATGATTTAAAAAAAAAAGATTTCCCATACATATCATTTTTTATTTCAAAGTAGTAAATCAATAGGCTGTTGGCAAATTAAAACAGGTCAAGGGAAACTCAATTTTGTGTTAAAAACAGAAATTGAGGACTTTTACCTCAACCTGAATGATGTTTATTAATGATGTCAATGTCTGATACTTTCTGGCTTTTATCTTTATACAAAAATGTGCAATGGTGACTTCAGTATTTGTATTTTCAAACTACAGTAGCTTGTACCCTGCTATGTTAAGGTTCTTTATTAAATTGCTGGGCAAAAACTGCTTTTATGTAACCTTATGGTGTCTGACCTTCAGATCCTAAGCCTGCATGTGCATGTACATGTGAACACTCACATCCTCTGATGTTAATATTTACACTATAAAAATTAATTTTATGCTGTTTGTACTTTTGAAATGATCTATTTCAGATATAATTTACACAAAAATGTACCCATTTTAAGTAATTCATTAACATACATTTATGAAATCATCACCCAAATCAGGACAGAATACTGTTCTCACTCAAAAGTTCTTTTAAGAATCTCTTCTGTATCTCTCCTTCCTACATCTGTTCCCATGGTAGACTGGTTCATTTTCAAGAAGGATTGTATTTAGGGCCAGGGATACAGCTCAATTGTTAGGTGCTTGTCTAGCTTGTACAAGGCTCTATGTTTGATCCCTACTTCTGAACCTCCAAACAGATTTTAAGATTCTCTTTTCTGCAAATTTCACATAAATCCAATCACATGGGATACATGATTCTTTTGCCCAGCATATTTCTGAGATTTATATATTACTTACATATATCAATACTTTGTCTATTTTTTGGTTGCATGTTTAACTAAGTGTATGAAATATGGATAGTTATTCATCGGTTGATGGACAGTGGAACTGTTTCAAGTTATGAGCTATTATGACTAGAACTATGATTACTTGTATAAAGGTCTTTGTGTGGATGCAGGTAATAATTTTTCTTGTTTAAATACATAAAGGAATGAATTAAAAGTCACATAGTAGTGTAATTTTGGGGGGAGATATGGAAATTGAACCCAGGAGCCTTTACATTGAGCTACAAACCAGCTTTTTTTTTTTTTTTTTTTTTTTTTTTTTTGGTACTGGGGATCCAACTCAGGATCTTGCTCTTGCCAAGCAGAAGTTTATACTGCTGAGCTAAATCCCCGGCCCTTTAACCAGCTCATTTGAGAGCCAGGCGGGAGGCTGAGGCAGGAGGATGATGGCAAATTCGAGACCAGCCTGGGCTACAAAGTGAGCCTAAAGCCAGCCTGAAATGCATAGCGGGACCCTGTCTCAAAAAGACAAAAAACAAAAGTTGAGACAGGGTGTTATGGATTGTATCTAGATGTTGCCCCCAAAGCTTCATTCACTCACAGGTGGTGCTTTTTGAATATGACTGAATCTAGGGTGTGTGAATATTGAGTAAGGGTGTGTCCAAATTAGCCCAGTGATTGATTTAGCACAGTCCAAGGTATGAATAATGAGAAGGCCCATCATGCTTGTGGGTGGCACCTACGATTAGGCTACTGGCACCTACCTGTAGCCTGAATGGAATAAAGAGAAAGAAGGAGAAGCTTGCTGCTGGCTGCTTTCCACTTACCCTGGAGGGGACTATTTCTCCTGTGCCCTGCTGCCCTGACTTGGAGCCAGCCAATTAGACTGAAACCTCTACAAACTATGTACTAAAATAAACCTTCCTCCTGGAACTTGTGTTGGGTATTTTGTGCCAGCAACAAAAAAGTAACTAAAATGCGGGGTACTATTCATTCCCCAGGATGGGCTTGAACTTGCAAACTTGCCTCAGATTCCCAGAGTGCTGGGGTTATAGGTGTGTAACAACAGGCCCAGATTAATGTTTTAAGAAACTATCAAATTATTTCTTAAACTGGTTTTACCATTCTGCACTTTTACTTAGAGTGTAAGAATCTCAAGTTGCTCCGCATCTCCACCAACACTTCATATTTTTCAGTTGTTTTCATTTGGCTCCTCTACTGGATGTTTGACGGGATCTTATTGATTTTGCAGTCATAATGATGTGGAGGATATCTTGTGCTTACCTGCCATTCTCTCATCTACAATGAAGCAATCTCTAATTGTTCTAGGTTTAATTTGTTCTTCCTTTCCATAGTTTCTTATGGTAAATGTTAAGACCATTCATTTTAGGCCTTCACTATTTTTTAAAAAAATATAAACATTTAGGGCCAGCAGTTTGGCTCAGTGGCGTTAAGTGCCTGCTTGATAATCCCTGGCACCAAAATAAATAAATAAATAAATAAATAAATGAATAAGCAAGCAAGCTTTTAATGCTAATAATTTCCCCCTCTTTACTATTTAGCTGCATTCTATAAATTCTGAAATGCAATGCTTTTATTTATTCTGGATATTTTTGACTCCAGAAAATTTCAAAGTGTGGACAATTTCCAAAAAATTTAGGGATTTTCCAGCTGTCTTCCTATTATAGATTACTAACTCTTTTGGTCAAAGAGCATACAGTATTTTGTTTGAATATCATCTTTTACATATAGAAAAACTTGTTTCATGGTCCACAGATCTAATCCCTTACTTCATATGCACTTAAAAGATCATTCTACAATATAACTCCATTAATATCACTTAGGTTATGTTCATCAATAGCTCAAAATGTGACAGCCATATTGACTGTGTCTATGTTTATTTTTCCTAGTCAGTAGTGGGGATTGGATCTAGAACTTCTATACCAAGCTATATCCAAGCCAGACAGGGTCTCATTTATTATTAAGTTGTGTACACTGGGATTAAACTCATGGTCTTCCAGCTTCAGCCTCCTAGGGTATTAGGATTTTAAACCTGTGCACCAAATCCAGCTCCATCTACATGCTGTATTACTACTGAGAAGGACTTTGGGAATTTCCAATTATAATTGTCTTTTTCTATTTATCCTTTCAGTTCAACCAGTTATTGCATCGGGCATTTCAAACTACTACTATTAAGTGCATACACTGCTTTACTGTTATAAAAAGGCTTCTTATTCCTGGTAATATTCCTTATTCTCTATTTGTCCAATGATAACACAGCCACTTCTGTTTTCTTAGGACTACTGTTTGCATGCTTTTGCATGTTTATCTTCTTCCATCCTTTTAATTTTAACTAGCTTGTATAAAGCATATCTCTTACAGTTAACAGATAGTTAAGTCCTATTTTATGTATTAATCTAACAATGCTTTTCCAGAGTATGTAGACTATTACATTTATCAAAAATGGTTGGATTAGTTGTATCTATTCTTTGCTTTTTTGTGACTTCTCTTAGATTATGTTTAAAATTCCATTTTTACCTCCACTAATGGTTTATTAGTCCTATTTCCACTCTAGGTGTTAACATAGGTATCTTTACCGTATATTCCATCTTCTAATGACATTATCCCACTCAAATATAAGGACTGTGCACTTGCATTTCTTAGGCCACGTTTTGCATTATTGTTATCAGACATTAAGATGTATGTACCTTAGCAGGATGGTGCTATATTCTTTAAATCTATTACCTATCTGATATCACTGTCTTTCATTAGACCACTTCCTTTATTTCTCATAAACAAAATTTATTGCCAGCAAATTTTCATTATCTAAAAAAGGTCATAATTTTGCTTACATTTTTGAAAGATAATCTATTATATATGGAATTCTACCTTGACATTCCCCAGCCTCTTAATGATGTCATTCAAATATCTTTTGGTTTGTGTAGCTCTCTGTTCTTCTACAGATATTTACAGCATGTCTTCATCATTTCTTAATCACTCATTTCAGGATATTGATTACTGTTGTAGCTTGGCATAACTGATGCCATCTTGAGCCCTGCATTTAACTGGCCTGTATTTGACCCAGGAAAATGGAAAATTACTCAGGGTATAAGGCAGAATAAGCTGTACTCAAGAGGAGAAAAATTAAACTGCTCAACAAAAGCAGCAAGATACAGGTGTCAACCAAAAATTAATGTAAGATCCTAGCTAAATTGTTTCCAACAGGATATCTTTTGTGATTCTCTCTTTTAAAAACTCTGTAACTTTCCATTACGGGGGTCATTTGTTTGGACTCTGAAATGGGGTGTATGGGGTGTGTGTGTGTGTGTGTGCGCGTGCGTGTGCACGCGCGTGCACACATCCGAGTGACCCTGAGCTCAGTTAATTAAATTTCAAATTTATCAACTTGGTTGCTTGGATTCCTGTATTGTTGTTCATGAACCCACCTCAATTATGATATGTGTTGTTACAATTTTCTTGGTGTTTATGCTACTTGGAGTTTATTGAACTTGGAGTTATAGTCATTAAATTTGAAAGAGACCCTAGAATGAAGTCCTAGACCTCGATAGTAGTATTCTACCTCTCCTTGCTTGTGGAAAGGGCATTGTATCACTCTTTCTCTATAGATTATATCATATACATAAAAATAACATGTCCATACATTGGTTTTCCCATTTTTGCTTGCATTCTCTTAGTTACTGCTGTTAAGATAAGGGGAAAAATGTGTTCCATGGGGTGAAGAGAGATTCACGACAGCCCCAACCAAGATAGATTTTTCTTTCTAAAGATAATGTATAAGCAAACTGATACATTCATACCATGGGCTATTACTTAGTGATAAAAAAATAACACACTACTGTTGTATTATATAGCAACATGCTAGATGGGGTGATACATGCCTGTAATCCCAGAATTCTGACGGGACTGAGGCAGGAGAATTGAAAGTTGCAGCCTATCCTGGGTCATTTTGCAACTAAAAGAGACTCTGTCACAAACTTTAAAAAAAAAAAAAAAAATTAAAAAGGGTTGGGTGTGTGGCTCAGTGTGAAGGCCTTGGTCAATCCTTACTACCACCAAAAACAGAAAAAAAACAAACAATAACATCCAAGAGAGTGATGATAAGAAGCCAATCTCAAAATACATACTGCATCATCACATTTATATATAGCATTTGTGAAGAAGTCCAATTATAGAGATCAAGCACAGGTTAATAATGGTCACCTAAGATTAGACAGAGGAGCAGCAGGTCAGTGTAGCTACAAAGAGGTAGCAGTTACATGAATCTACATATGTGATGAAACTACATAGAACCATATAACATATACACTAACACACACTTCCTAAGTGGGACCAGAACATTTGAGTTGTTACCACCCTGTTTCTTAAAAAAGATTTAAAAAATCTTTTACCTGTCTTGCAGGTGGACGGACCTTCTTTTGTCAAATCAATAACAAAATCACATTTCCTCTTCTCCAGATCCTAAGAAGTTATTATAAAACAAAACAAAACAATAAAACCTATAGCTTCAGCAGTTAAAAATGTTTTACAAGAAGATAAAATACATTATAATTTTAAATGATTTTAAGAAAGTACTTCATTCCTTCCTGCCTTTCTCAGTAAAAAATTTAAACATAAGACCTTGTACATACTAAACAAGTGTTCTACTACTGAGCTATACAAACTTATAACCCTAATTAACATTTAGAAGCTAGAGACTATTTTCTAAGTGTCTTATGGTTTAATTGAACTCTAATATAAAAAATAAGGTCATAAAACACTTCATGGTTTCTGAGAATATGATGAAGGAAATCTAAATGAACTGATACATAAGTATATCATGAAATATCTTTATCATTAGCTTTAGGCTTGTCAGTGGTATGCTGAGAGACAGTAATTTTATACACACAAACGAGGTCAGCAAAGGACAAACAACAAAGCAACCTGAAATAACATTAAAGTTCCTAGAAATAACATTTAAATAAACAGCATTCAGAGACGATAATAATTACTTACTCTAACTTCAACTATATCATTAGATGAAATGTTGGAATTTGCTGATGTAATTCTTTTAGAATCTAAAAGAAAATTATTAAAACATGAATACATATTAAATATTTATGGACTTTGTAATGTAAAATGCTGAAACACAAAAATGAAATACTAATTGAGTTACTTATATATTATAAAAAGTAACAATAGAATACCTATTCCAAAAATCAAATCTATTTAATGTAATGAAAATTTTATTTTTCTATCTGTAACTTTATATTAGTAACTTTTTGAAAATCTACCTGAAAATTATTTTAATATTTTAAAAAATAAACTGCAGAAAAATACGTTTTTAAATTCCCAGTACCTTTACAACAGACTGCTTGAGCTGGATAAGGAGGACTCTTCCTAAATTAGTGAGAATACTTAAAGAAATACAGAGAGTGTTTTGTAGCTGTTTGATTTGAAACTGTGGAAACAATTGTATCAGAAATTATGATCAAATGCTCAGAAGAGTAAAACACAAAATTGTGGAATTATGCATCACACAAGATAGTTAAGGGACAGGAAATTTATCACTGGAAATATAAAATTAAAATTTTTAAAAATATAAGACACAAATTCTAAAAAGCAATGAAGTATTTTTTAAAAACCAAAAGAAAAACAATAAAGAAAATTGAGATGAACTTAAAGTCTAAAAGACTATGTGTTAATAGAAAAACAAATCACCACTAACATCAACATAAGACCACAGCAAATGATGCACACATAAGTAACTTATTAAGCTTATTAAGTCAGTAGACAAACATCTACAAAGAGCTACTAATAAAAATAAAAATTAAAAGGCTATAAATTGATGAAATATAAAATAAAAAAGAAATGTGAATCACATGAAGGAACCATTTGAGGTATTATTAGTCACAAATTAAAAACTAGACTATTGGGGGCTGGGTATTTAGCTTAGCAGCATAAGCACCTGCCTTGCAAGTAGGCAGCTGTGAGTTTCATCCCGGTACCAATAAAAGAAAAAGAAAACAAACAAACAAACAAAAACGAGAGCATTTCTGAGAGTAGACAAAATTGTATTTTATTAAAAGTTTATATCTTTCATTCTAAAAAAATACCTATTTGAGCCCTTTAATTTGATAAATAATAATCTAATCAATTTAAGATACCTCTTGCATTTGGTGTAACTGGAGTTGTCAAATTGGGACTTTCCACAGAAATCCACATAACATCATCATTACTAAAATGATAAACAAAAATAAACTGAGTAAACAAAGAGTATAGAACATGCAAGTAATGGCTAGCATTCCTCTAAATTAACATTTCATGTTTTGAATGAACGACTGTGTACTGGGAGAGGAAAACAAATACTTTAACAAGACCCATGCATTACTAATTCATTTATATTAATAAGGAGAATGGGAATCCAATAATAAAAGACATACAAAACTTAGTACAGGGCCAGGCGTACGGGGCACAAGCTTGTAATTCCAGCACTCAGGAGGCTGAGGAATTAGGATTGCCTTGAGTTTGAGGCGAGCCTGGGCTACATAGTGAATTCAAAGCTAACCTAAAATACAGAATGAGACTCTTTCTCAAAAAATGAAACAAACAAAAAACAACAACAAAAAACCGTAGTAGGGATCTAGTCACAACAATTCATAAATGTACAAAGTATCACTTCAGGACACATATCTGCCTCATAAAGATGAAAACATAAAACTAAATGAAACCCATTAAAACTGACAGTCACTTTAACTCTTCAAGATACAAGATTATAATAAAGCTATTTAAATAGCTTCCACTACTCTTACATTTAACTATAGTAGCAATATAACCACACATTTTCTTTGCCGAAGCAAATATGTTAAATGATGCTTTCAGTTGTAGAACACTCTAGAAGAGATCATCTTTGCTGCCATTTTGATCTTGATACCATTTTAGTGAGTTTGACATTTTAAATGAGAATTTTATGAAAACTATGAGACAAACTGCATTAAGCTCATTAAAATGCTAGAATGCCCAGCATAATTACACCATTTTCTTGTCATGTTTTATATTTTCAGTACTTATATTTGGTCTAGAACCCATTCTGAGTTAATTTTTGTGTATTTGTAAAAAGCTGAGTTTTACTTTTCCCTTCTAGGTGTTCCAGAAACATTTCCTGAAAAGAAAATCGTTTCTGTGTTAAACATCTTCCCTTGTTTTTATTTAGTATATTTTACCTATACAGAGTATCAGGTTTCATTATGGTAGTTCCATACTTGTGAGTGTGGCACTGGAATGGAACCTAAGGCTTCTGCACTAAGCTATATCCCTAGCCCTTTTTCAGAACTCTGAGATAGGTCTCACCAACTCACTAACTTACTTAGGTAGGCTCTAATTTGCAACTCCTATCTCAATCCCTCAGAGTGCTGGATTACAGGCCTGGACTACCATGCCCGGCTTCACACATTGTTTTTTTTCTGTAGTACATAATGTTTCCATTCCTTGTGTGGAGTCGGTACATGTACAAAGCATATCTTAATTCTTTTTTTCATTCCTTTGCCCCCTTTCCCTCTATTTCTTAATCCCCTTCATAGGTGAGACAGATTTATCTTCCCACTTCCTAGTATCTCTTCTGGTACTGCACAGGATCAGAGAAATTTCTCTTACTTTGTAGTGCAAGCTGGCCCTGAGCTCATTTATGAAGCTGAGGTCGGCCTCCACCTCATAGCCCCCTCTTGCCTTAGCCTCCCGAGCGCTGGGAGTATAGGAGTGCACTACCACACCCAGGCAGTCTTCATACATTCCTATACTGTGATTACTCTGGCAACTTTCTTGTAAACTAATGGACTACACGAGTCTGTATTCTCATCTCCCCACTGAGTTGTGTGCTTATTCTTAGACTACCAACGTTGTCTTAAATAGGATAACTTTACAGAAGGTTTTGAAATCCGGTAGTGAAAGTCTTCCAACTCTGTTCCTTTTTTTGTAGATTTTTGCATTCCTCACATAAATTTTAAATAAATTTGTTATTTCTTAAAAAGATGCTTACTTCAGACTAAATTTACTTTACAGAACAAAGTGAAGTGTTATAACAACAACAATGAGTTTTCTTAATTCTTGAATGTGGAGTTTCCCATTTCTTTAGGTCTTTTGTAATTTCTTTAGTAATAATTATAGTTTCAAGTTTTAGTAGGGACTGAGCCCAGGGCCTTTGCAGTACGCTACATTCCCAGCCCTTTACTGTTATCATCATTATCATTGAGACAGGGTCTTGCTAAATTGCTCAGTTGCCTAGACTTTGAGGCTGAGATTACAAGTCTGTGACACCATTCTTATTCCCATTGCTTCTTCCCTACACGTTTGTCTATAGTATTTAACAGCATTTCTCTATACATACTATATACAAACACAAAACTACTATTTACCCACATATCTACGATTTCTGGAGGTCTACATTACATTTCTACCTAGTACTATTTTTCTACTATCCAAAAAACTTGCTTTAAATGTTGTGTAGTGCAAGGCTGCTGTTAATGTATTCTCCCACCTTATTAAAACTTAAAAAATGTGTTTTCCCTCATACTTTTGAAAAGTATTTTTCCTACACATAGAATTCTAAATGGCTAATTTTTATCTTTCAATACTTTAGATATAGCTGATCTCAGTATTTTAAATACCACATGCAGTACGATAAAAAGATAAAAGAATTTGAAGATTTATTACAGTAAAAGCCACATTGCCGTTGATATCCTTGAAAGTACTCCCCTACTTTTGAACATGCTTATCCCATCATTCTGGCCACTTTCTGAGTAATTCTGGAAGTTCTCTTTCATGAGTGTCTCAATTCACTGTTGTGACCACCTCAATGTTCTGAATTGATTCAAAATGTTTACCTTGGATAGTCATTTTGACTTTGGGGAAGAGCCAGAAGCTGCGCAATACAGATGTGTTGAATAAAGAAAATGAGGACACACCATCACGGTTTATGAGTCTGCTCTTCCTTGGGATGGTGCTCAGTAGCAGCATTTGCCACTCTTTTTGCACTCATGAACGGTGACTTCCATCTACTCTGTTTTTCACTTTACTATCTTTGTCACTTTCCAAGTTCAGCTTGGGTTTTTGTGTCTTCCATTTCTCTCATGTTTACTCTCCTCTGTACTGTCGAACATCAAGAATAAAATAATACAGTAATTCTTATGGCATTACTGGCTAAGTCTGTTAAATACTGGTAGATCACTTCAGTCTTATCCTTGTTCATGCTTCACTTTCTCTTTCTTTGGTGGTGTTGGTAACTAAACCCAGGGCCCATGCACACAAAGCTACAATCTCAGTCTCTCTTTTTCCCACCTTGAGCCAAGGTCTTGCTAAATTGCCCAGGCTAAGGTTGATCTTGTGCTCTTTCTACCTCAGCCTCCCAGAGTGCTGGGATTACAAATGGGTTAATTTTTTGCAATTTTGCAAGCCTGGTAATTTTGTATGTATCAGACAATGTAAAATTTATGGTGCTTAGTAACAGATGTTTCATCCCATCAGATTGTCTTCTGAAATTCAATTAAAGTAGATTACTTTGATTCATTTAAAGCTTTCTTGTAGCTTTTTTCTGTGTGTAGGTTCTTTGCAGTCATTGATCTTGGACTGGCTGAGCTCCACTAACACTACAGTCATCTGTGGACTCTACTGACAGCTCCTTATTCACATTCTCTTCATTTTAGCTAGCAGAAAAAGCACTATGTTCTCGGTTCTCCTTCTGGTGAGGAGGAAAGCAAGAATTACTTCTTTCCAAGATTTGGCCTTCTTTCCAATGATTCTTTCCCCTGCCTCATATAGTTACATTTTTGCACAGACAGATCCATATTTAGCCAATGATTTAAGAAGTTTGCTTTGCAGATCTTCAGAGCTTTCTCATTGTGTAATTTCTTTACTTTTTGAATTCACAAATCTAGCCAGACTCTCTAATCTCTGGCCTAAACTTAGCAAGACCATCAAGCTCTGTTTGGGATCCCCCCATCTCTACCTTTTAACTTGGAAAATACTTGCAGGCAGTCAGCTGGACTAATGGCAGGGCTCATTTCACTTGTTTCCCTTAAGAATGACAATCTGCAGCTCATTGTTGAATAAAGGCTTGCCATAATTGGTTTGTTTTTAGCCTGATTTGCAAATTGTTTACAGTAAAAGATCAATTCTTTAATACTCATTACTGCTTCACAGGATAAATGAGAAATTTTCTGCATATTTTTGTTCTGTAAAATCAACTTTTCCATACAAATTTAAAAGAAATTTAATTTTATATTGAATTTATCAATGAGAGATTCTAACATTTGCCATTATTTTTAAGGAAAAAAAACCCATAAATCCTCAGAACTAAACTTTATTAAGAATACTTGATTTTCTAACAAAACTTGGCAAACTTATTTAAGTGTTATATATTTTTCTATCAATAGTTATTAAGTGAAAAACTGATGGCTACTATCTATTTTGTTGCTAAACTATAAGAAAATGTGAAGTAAACCTTTTCACATTTTTATTACTTTGTAGTGAAAATACCTTATGCATCTCAAAACTATTTATTTATATTTGTTTGTTTGTTTGTTTGTTTATGGAGGCAGGGTATTACTCTATAGTCCAGGCTGGCTTTGAGCTCAGTCTGTAGCCTAGACTGGTCTTTAACTTGTGGTGATTCTCCTGCCTCAGCAGCCCAAGTGCTGAGATTACGGTCATGTGCCATCATAACCAGCTTTAATTTTTATTTTAGTTACTACTAAAACCTAACACAATTTAAGAGTGTAAGAAACAAAGTAGAAAGACTTTAAAAGGCAGAAGGGAATTTCTGACAGTCTCACTGTGTTTAGGAGGTAAGGATTAAAATTCGGGATGCACTCTAAAATTTCAGATGAAATCAATAGAATCTAAGTCTTAAGAGTCAGAGGGAACTAGAAGTAGAAACAGCCTTACAAAACTCACAAGCTTTAAATTCTACCATTCCATAAGTAGACTGGGTGGTTAGAATACATTCTATATCTGCTAAGCAGAGGAAAAAATGTACTATATGTATAGCAAAATGGTATAATTCAGAGCCTCAACGATTTTTCAGAAATTTATCAAGCATGCTGACAGACCGATTCAAATGACTGGAATGGCCAGGTATGGAATTATGTACCTGTAGTCCCAGCTATTCAGGGGACTGAGGCAGAAGGATCAGTTCAGCCCACAAACTAGAGAACAGCTTGGGCAACACAGCAAGATCTCCAGCTA